TTCTATTAACTATTTCAGATCAAGAAGATCAAGATTCAGATCATGATCAGCAGGAGAATTGTGAGTAGATTACTTACCGGGCCCCATCACTTGCTAGTGAAGGTTAACTCCCTAGGACATTTATTTACATATTTTAATTATTTATTCGTTTCGTTTTACGAACTACTGTAAAAAGAATATTTCCGTAACTCTATTGGATATTATAATTTACTGTGTAAGGAATGTAAACCTAACATTATTGTCTACTTTCACATTTAAGATATAAATTTATTTTCTTTAAGTTACGGGTCTTTATAAGTTTTGAGTGTATTTTCAGTGTGATCCAAGATTGTTTTTAAATGTCTAATTTATAAAATCCTTACAAAAAAAGTTTTCAAGAAACTTTGATTGAGTGATGCAAAAGAGTTTTCTTCTTGAACCATAGTGAGAATTACACAACTCCTAACCAGATGTATTGAAGACTCAATTTTTAAGTTTCTTCTTGAAGTTCTTCCTTGAAATCTTCTAAGATTATATATATTTTTATTTTATTCTCCTTCTGTAGCTCATGGATACCTTTGAGCATATTTAGTTACTTTTACTCTCGATGACCCTATTTAATCCTAATCTCAAATCAAGATTTGCATGATTAATTGTTTATCCTTTATCAAATTCAATATATATATCTTAAAAGTATGTATATATAAGTTATTTTCAGTTCAAATTGAGATATGACTAGTTTTTTGGTTTCTAAAATAAACTTTTCAGTTTTTAGCTTCCTTCCATTCCATACTAGTTTAGTCCAGTCCAAATATGAACCTACGAACACTCCTAATTCTTAAGGTGTTATATAATAACAAACTAGAAGAATTTGGTAGTTTTGTTGGATGTACTAAACTTTAGTACAAGTGAAAAAAAAAACATTTTCGATTGGATGAGCCCTTTAAAAGCATTAATACATGCATAACCAGATAATTCTCAAGAGATAGCAAAACAATATGGTTATCTAAAAATGCCTAACAACTTATAGATTTGCAAGAAAAAGACAAAAATTACTTGATGATACTAGACACAACATTGAAAATGCTAATGAAAGAATGGAAATGTATGTTAATAGATAGAGAATGCTTTTGAAATTTTAGGTACAAGATAAAGTGTTGTTGAAGCTTAGGCCTCATTATAGAAGAAAGTATAGAATAACATGAGAAGGCTTACATAAAAGTATGATGGTCCATCTGAAGTTCTAGAAAGGTTAAGAACATGACTTACCAATTGAATTTACCAAATGGATTGAAAGTACATCCAACTTTTCCAATTAGTTTTCTAAGTCATAATATGTATGTTGAAAACACTGAAAGTGGATAAGTGAAGTTTGCCCTCTCCTTGTTAAAATGAAATTTGAGAGTGAAGTTAAGAAGATCCCTAGACCACAAGGTAGAAGATTGTGATAAAAAGGCTAAAAGAGCATTATATCTGGTCAAGTGGGAGAAATGTTAATTGTTGAAAGGAGTTGGTAATAAGATGATGACTTGTAGTAGTTTAAGAAGGACGTTAAGGATTATTATTTTTTCAAGTCGTCGATAAGACCAATGATTCTCTTTAGTAGAATTGGTCTATTAGATCTTTAAACCCAAGTAGAATGTTGGTACAAAGCTAACACCTTACTTGCATCAAACAATAACTAAAAAGACGAGTTAAAGCTTGGATAATGGGCATAATAATATGATTGGTTCTTTGTGTAGTAGAGTGGCAAAGGGTTTATGCAGTCTAGTGCAAGTCAATTGGCAGCTCTAGGTGGTGTAAGATGACAAGAGGGTAGGTGTCTTGTGCATGCAAGAAATGTGAGCTTGTGTTAGGGGTCTAAAACACAAATGTGTTAGGTTTTATGGCTTCAAACAAGGTGATAAAGGGTGATTTCTAAATGATTATTTGACAACTTTTATTTTACTAGTTTCAAACACCGAATATAAAAGCTGTTGATCTAAATTACCTTTTTCTAATTCATATGAGGAGATAATATGTAAATATCTTGACCCGCAGCCTCAAATGTCTTGCTACCTTCCTATACTTCCTTCATATGGTTTTGCTATATAATTTTTTAGTGGGACATTGTGAAATCTATAAGAACAATTTTCTTTGTTGTGTTACTCGGGAAAGTCTTATTATTCTCATTCTAATGTTTGTCCTATGATTTGTATGTTGATTTTATTTTCTTACACTCTGTTTATGATACACCATTGTCATCCTAAACGCATTTAAATATCAAATCCTCTTTCTAGAGACCGCTCCAGCAGTTTTTCCTTCAGTGAAAAAGAAACGGGAACTGTACCACAAAATTTTTATTTTATTTACAGTTATTTCAAATTCTTTAATTTATATATATATAAAAGAAAGAAACCACTTCGCTAGATACTCTTCTTCTCTGTAGCCTATATCGGCTTCCCGAAACGGGAAGATCAACTTTGAAAATGGCTATTTCTGAGTCTCCCAAGAACCCAGGTAATAAATTTGAGTTACCCATATTTTCGATGGACATTTTTTGCTCGGCCAGTTGACCCACACACTTTTTATGTCTGGAATTTTGCTATTCGCATGTTTGTATCAGTATTCGATGCTCTTGGTGTTCGATAATTTGTGTACATGACTTTAAAGGGTACGAATCTGCTATTAAAATATTAAGGTTGTATTAACTTCAATATACTTGAAATAGTTAAAATGTTCGTTTGTCTGCTGAAAGTAAATTGGTTTTTAGTTGATCCAGTATTCTTTCATTAGACTTGTTATTCTAGATTTATGGTGTTCAACCGAGTTGTTTTAATTGTTGATGGAATTCATTGTTAGGCAATTTGATCTATTTAAATTCTATAGCAAGCGTCCGGATGATTGTCTGTTTGTACCAAAATTTTCCTCTTCATGCGGTTCCCAAGTCAGTGATGAACTGGATGCTGTTAACTTTGCTCTGTTATTATGATTGATTAATTGCACCAAATTCTTGGCCCTTGTCTGCATTGTTAGATAGATGGTTGGAAATCTCTTTGATTATCCTATATGAGCTTGTAGATCAGTTGTTACATCTATAGATTACTATGGAATTTTTTCAGTTTTCTCTAGAGAAAATGCTAAAACTAGCTAGATGGAGTTCTACCTCCTATCTGCTTTAATTAACTGAAAAATTAAAAGGAAAATTTTCTGTTTCTCTAAATGTGCTTCCTGAAATATATGTGTGTGTACATGTGTGTGCAGTTTCATCAAAAATTGATACATATTTTCTGCTTTTTCTTTTTGCCATTTAACATGCTATAGCACTTTAACTCTCATTTGAATTGTATGGTTTCAGTGCTTCATCAGGAGAAAGTTATAGTTCAAAACAAACACGGTGAAACTCTCCTAGGCGTATTGCATGAAACTGGATCTAGGGAAATTGTAATCTTATGCCATGGTTTTCGATCCACAAAAGTTGGTATTATATGTTTTGAGTATTATTATCTTCTGCTGATTAATTTGGTAGGTTCGATGGAGGTTTACAGCTTGTCTTCCTTTTATCTAGGAAGACTGTATCATGGTGAATCTTGCTGTTACTTTAGAAAAAGAAGGGATCAGTGTATTTCGTTTTGACTTTGCTGGGAATGGGTGAGTAATGGAATTATGGGATCTTGAATGTGACTTTCAAAAAGTATATTGACATCTTCTGCTCCGTGCTTTTGGTTGTAAAAAAATCTCAGTAGGTCTTTTTTTTTTCTTTTTGATAATGTAAAAAAATCTCAGTAGGTCTTTTTTTTTTCTTTTTGATAACATAGAGAGCCTTACCCTATAGCATGTAGTATGGCAAACCTCCAGATGATCTAGTTTACTATTTTAATTAGAAAATTGATCTGAGTTCTGATTTTCTTGACTTGGCTAAGCATCATTTAAACTATTTTGCATGTTTATGTTGATAATAGGCCAGTCATTTCCAACTTAATCAGAAAGCACCTTTTAGAATTGGCAGTTAAGAAAATTTTCTTGATAATAAGACTTGTGGAAAAGGAATAGGTTAAGGTTTGAGCCTAAAAACTTGGCTTGAGGGCCAGGGGACTATTAATGGAGTAGGGAGAAGTAGTGCTTCGTAGTTCAGAGAAAATAAATCCAAAGAAATAGTAATCCTTGCTTAAATATGTCTGTAGTATCTCAACTTGCAATAGATTGATCAAATAGTGTCCTAATGTTTGCTGGTTGGGATATTAGTGAGGCAAAAACTCTAAACATGATACTTAAAGCCTTTTGACTTGATGAGTTGACTGAAATGGAATCAGATGTGCATAAGTTTGCAGTTGTTTTTTACCTTCTGCTTCTAGTACCTAATTCTCTCAAATGCAAGTGCAAGCAGAAGTTCAGAACTTGAAAATTGTACTAATTCTACTTATGGATTGTGATTAGAGTTTGAACAACTGTTGAAATCACAGTTATAGTATGTTATATATCATTTGGATTGTCTTTATTAATCTTTGGAGCTGTGGAGCCATTCTCTTTGTGTCTTTTAATCTCTAATAAAGCTATTGATTCTAGGGAAAGTGAAGGTTCTTTTTTCAGTTTGGTAACTATTACAGAGAGGCCGATGATTTGCATGCTGTGATCCAGCACTTCCGTGAAATAAATCGTGTAATTAATACAATTCTTGGGCACAGTAAAGGTCAGTGAGATTGATTTTAAATCTAATACATTGAGAAATGATATCTTAATGACAAATGAATAGGAACAAGATATGTCATTTACATGTTGAGACCTCTATAATTTTTGTTTTGGATGGGAATTGCTTAATTGGAGGACCATATTTCAATATAGTCCCATAATCTGATCGTAGGCGTAATCATCTTCGTTATCGGCAAAATCCTTCTGATAGCATTTTTATGTTGATCCTATATGGACAAATGGTGACAAGAATCTCAACACCAGATTATTGGATTCAATTAGCAGATTAAAAATGATAACCATGGATGTTCTAGAACTTCTATTAGGAGATTGGAAGGACTGGGATGAATGGTTCCGTCTTCGATGAACTATATTGGCAAAACTGCCGGAATTAGTAAGCAGCTCAGAAGTAAATTTGCAATCAACTTCAAGAATTTCGAGCCTTCTCATGTGATTGGCTAGATGAAAATGATGTTCTATATTTGTAGATATTAAGGGTTTTTAATTATGAAAAGAAAAATCAAAATGATTGTACTCACTGCAATAAGGATTTTGCAGTTGCGGAGCTTTGTCAGTGACCCAGATCTATTGTCTCTATTCCATGCTTTTAGTCTGTGCCAGCTTCATTTTTCCCTGGAGATTGAATGTGATTCATATACCAAGAGAAATATTGATACGATCCTGTACAATGTTTTGGGGGATTTTCTGATTTTCAAATAGATCTTTCCTTTCCCTCAACCACTTTGTAGAAAAAAAAATCAAGATTACTCAGCTAAAAATGTTGAGAGGATTACATAGATTAAATTATGTTTCCTTGTTCTCTCTCTTTGTATCATTCCCAATGAGAGAAGGGATTAAGAGAGAGAGAGAGAGAGACCATTAAGAAGACACTAGATGCCTTTACATCTCTCGGTGAGTGCATATGTATTTGAACAAATTAGTATTAATTCGAAATGCAATTTTACTGATGTAGCACCAAAAAAGTGAAGTCCAATCTAAAAGAAATATGAACCATTTAAGTGAAGGCCTAACTTCAGTTATAGTTGATTTCCATATTATTTCCTTTATGAGTTGTTCTTTTCTTTAATAGTTAGCTTCTACTATTTGTTTGCCTAAGTAGTTTTGAACAATTTTTGTTTTCATTGTGTTTGGTGCCCCTTCATAAAGAGTACTCTAATTAAGTTTGAGACTGGTTATTGCTAAATCTAGTTGAAAATTTGAGTTGTTTATTAAGATTCAAGATCTCTAATTTTTGTTCCTTGATTACTTTTCCCTAAGTTTTACATCAAGCTCTGTTTATATGCCATCTTATACTCTTCAATTAACTGCAGGTGGAGATGTGGTCCTTTACGCGTCTAAGCATCATGATATCGACAATGTTATCAATGTTTCTGGTTGCTATGACTTGAAACGAGACATTGAAGAACGCATAGGAGACAATTTTATGCAGAGAATTGAGAAGGATGGATTTGATGATGTAAAGAACAAAATAGGTAATCTGTGATTGTGATCCCAAATGGATGCAATAAGTACAGATTTCTAGAGCTTCTACATTTTGTGGAAGCCAGATTCCTAGAGGTGGTCAGATAGATCTTGAGTATCAAGATTATTGGTCTTCTAGCTTTTTAATGCACGAGTTTGCTCCTGCAGGCAGTGTTGTATTCCGTGTGACTAAAGAGAGTTTGATGGATTGGCTAACTACAGATATGCATGAGGCATGCCTTAAGATTGAAAAAAAATGCGGGTGAAAAGTTCAAATGACTTTAGGTTGAAATTCTTTTCGCATTGTGGATGAGTTTTTGTGACTGATATAATTTACATAATAATTAGTGTGATGTTTTAGAGCATAGTGGGATAAGCAAATTTCAAATATATTTGGCGGGAAACATTCTTCTGCTCATAAAGCTAAATGGCATCAAGAATGAGATTTAGCCAGTGAATATTTCTGCTTTATGTGCATGTTTTTTTTTAATTACTGATTTCGTACGGTCTTACAGGGTCTTAACTGTCCATGGAGATGCCGATGAGGTCATTCCTGTGGAAGATGCTATGAAGTTTCACAAGATCATACCAAACCGCAGACTACAGATTGTAGGAGGAGCAAATCATGGATACACTTCACATCAAGCTGGATTAACGACAATTGTTTTGAACTTCATTAAAGCTGCAGTGTGGCAATGGTATTTTGAAAGCTCACAACGAGGAAACCAGTATGGCATTTCATAAAATATTATCGGTACCAATGGGTCATTTTTAGTTTTAGAAAATTGTTGACAGTTTCCTTGTTGTATGGTAGTTGACAAGTTGTATGGTTAAGGTGATATAAAAGGCAATGAACCTTGCTAAAAGGACCAAGTTTTATGGAATTATAAATTTTTGCCTTATGCAATGTAGACATGATAAACTAGTGGAAGCCTGTGTAGAGTAATTAATTTTTATTCTTTATTATTATTTTTCTGTTTTTTAGAAATGTTGTGCATGGGCAGCTTAGCTGTAAATAACTTTTTTGTTTTGAGAGTTTGTGATGCGGGAGGGTATAAGGAGAATTGAATCAACTCATAAAACTCAACGCATGCAATATTAAAACTATAACCGTTAGAATAAAATTTTTCCTTTTAATTGAATTTACAATTCTTAAAGGAAAACAAAAATAAAAATTAGAAAAAATAAATAAGAAAAAAAAAATCACGGACTTATCGATAAGTTAATTTTTACTTCTTGGCTCAACAACATTTTTAAAGATTCCTAATTCTCGAAAAACTTGAAAAAGTTAATTTTAAAAAAAATACTAAAAAAAAAGAAAAGCAAAAAATAATTTTCTCAAATGTATTCTCAAAAGATTGTATTTACATTCTAAAAGTAAATGTCTATTTATAATCTTTTTTAGATAATGTAGATGAGTATAAAATTTTGAGATAATTAATAAAATAATAACCCAAATAAAATTT